AGTAATTTGTCTACAACACAATAACAATAATTATATCTAGATATATATTCTTATTAGTATTATGCCTTAGACTTAACTAACAATATTTTAAAATAAATTAGAAATTTGAAGACAATAATTTTAAAAGATTCTGTGAGATTTGCAGTGCAATCATTTAAGACTACCATCTATTGAAATTTTAATGTTTTTCTGTTTATAATTTAGATTGCGTATTGGACTTCAAGTGGCTGCAGTAAAGGCTCCAGGGTTTGGAGACAACCGTAAAGCCACATTGGTCGATATGGCTATTGCAACTGGGGGTATTGTGTTTGGAGATGAAGCAAACGTAGTCAAACTAGAAGATGTTCAACTTGCTGATTTGGGGCAAGTAGGAGAAGTATTAATTACAAAAGATGATACACTTCTTCTCAAAGGAAAGGTAAATTAATTTATTAATAATTTAGTGATTCTATTGCTAGTTTTGGATCATTAAGAATATCATTTATTAATAATACTAGTTTCCTCATTAATAGTTTTGATTGAAAACTTGATTCAGTTATTTTCTTTTAGGGTAAAAAAGAAGAGGTAGATAAACGTGCAGATCAAATTCGTGATCAAATTGAAACCTCTACGTTCTCGCGATTTCGATCTTTTTGGATCTCATCAGCGCGTCGCAGGCAGCTCCGACAGAACACAGACCAACTTTTACCTGCTGTCTTAACAGTGCGTTTACTGCGCCATTTGTAGTATTTTCTAAAATTATCGTTGTTGTTTAGAAAATACACAATTTTACTTTTAGATTAATTGGCTTGCAAGACCAAGTAAGTGACCGTCGTAGTTCAAATACCCAAGTACTTAAATAAAGTTCGTAATACTTTTAGAAAGGGGGTTAATTTAAATTAACACTGCAACTTGTACCCAAAGTTTATTTATGTACATTATAATATTCCGCTTTATTTATGCATAATTTATACATAGTCTGTTATCTGATTAAATCAGCCGTTAAATTGATATACAGTATAGGCGAATTTGAGAACCAAATGTAATGGTATTCTATTACATGCAGTCATCAGAGGGTGGTATTATTTTTAAAGTGCAATTTCAAGCCCTTGAGGTGTTACATTTTTTTCGCCCTACATAAAAAGAAATGTAATATTTCTTTTCAGCTAAGCTTTTGCCTTACCTGTATATGAGCAAAATAATAGCAAGAAACATAAAAATACAAAGAACTTTCGCGTAATTATTATTTCTCTCTTTTTCGTATCGTTTGATGGTGAAATTATGCGAAGGAATAACAATAAGTACTACTGCGAAAATTTCTTTCTATTCATCTACTCATGTTATGTACAGGTGTACTTTCACTGGGTAGTGTGTACTTATTATTTTTTTTGTAATATTTTAATTCAACCGTTACCTTAATAAATAATAATAGTATAATGTTTGTAATACATGTTTTACAACATATTTTTTATTGTAATAAACAATGTAATTTATGTACTTTGTCTATAATAATTACCTACTGGGAAAATTTAATTAATTAAGTTGCTGTCCAGGTGCACCAACGTGATATACAGGGTGGTTTATAATGAACGGGAATTATAATTTCTGATATCATCAAATTTTTTTGTCTGATTGAATTAAACAAAAAATCGCGAAAAATGTTTTCCAGTAGAATGTGCTAGTTTTAGGCATTTTTATTGATTTATTGTTGAAACAATTTTTCCGAAACATTTAATATGGCGGCTGTTTTAAACTGGCAACAATGCATAGAAGTACAAATGAAGGGAAGACTCTAAGTGAAAGGTAAATGTTTTAATACTGAAGAAGATGGATTTGCAGTCAAGAATAAAAAAGTAAAACTACGATTAAAATTAGAACGTGTCTACTTATATGAACAATAACATGAAATATGCAATATGGCTGCTAATTGTCATTTCAAACATTACCACCAACAGAGCGAACTAAAACAAATCAATCTACGAAAGTAGCCAAGGAATATTTATGTCATGGCAATGAAAAACTCATGCAATAATAATTGTACAGACGTATGTTTTAACAAAAGATCCGAAATAGGCAATATGGCGGTTGGAACCTGTCATTTCAAATATAACTGACAACGGCGTTAATCAAAACAAATGAAACAATGGAAATAGCTAGTGAAATGACATGTCGGTCGTGGGAACTTAATTTGTAGAAAAAATAAACGAACAATATAAATAGAGTATTTACTGACGAAAGGCATTGCACTTTAATTGCCTATTGTACCGAGAAATTTCAGGCGATTTGTCAACGTTTTATTTGTCAGTGCCAATGCGATTTTATCTGACAATAAAAATCAGTTGGTCGATTGCACTTGGATAACCTTATCCTTGTCAATTCTTTTTTTTCTTTTTATTGGCCAGCGCAGCAGAATGAAGGAAATTTTCACGCGCCGTTGCACAATGTTTATGAGATTTTACATCTGCATAGATGGATGGAGAAGTTGAGTTAGGTAATTAAAAACTGAGTATATAAAACACTCTTCGGAAACCCGATACTGGTTAATATTTTAAATATTAATGTGAAAACTTATTTTACGCATTATAAAGCCAAAGGTCGCGGGTTCGATTCCCGGCGAGGGCGTGACGGTACCAACAATTTTTTCTCATTAACTTGTGTATAAAAATTTAATGAATTTTCACATTAATATTTGCATATATAATTTAAATATAGGTAATATTCATGGTATTCGCCTTGAACGGTCAAGTAAAGCAACTAGAACTGTCAGTCTCAATCAAAAATACCATTTGGAGTCAACTGAAGGCATAACTTTCAATGAACAGTTAGCGGTTTCTTGATGGACATAATATGCAATAGTTGGTTGTTTGTGTTAATTTTTAAATTAATCAATTCCACTGCAGATAACCTCAAATTAATGAGGAAAAATTATTGCTGGTGTAACTTCCTTGCCGGGATTCGAACCCGGGCCACTGGTTTTACGCATAATCTATTATTTTTGATAGAACCAGCCGAAAAAGCATCAGCTGTTGACAGTGATGAAATGTACACGTAATCGAATGTTACAGTTAATATGTAATAAACATTTATGATTACGATAAACAAATACAGCAAAAGTTACAAAACTTAAACCACAATAATTATTTCAGTGGAAGAAACGTCAACTATTTTTTCAGCTGAATAAGTACAGCAGCCCTTTTCAATCTTCTTACCCCTTATTACCCATAAGAGAAACTGGTTTTACCATTTTACCCTCCATTAAATGTTTTACAAAAACAACAATACATGCTAAGGCTTTGAATACATCGAAAAAAAACAAAAGATGCACGCTTTTTTGCGTAATAGTTGTTGGAGAAATTTTTTACTGTTTTTCCTACGTCTAATGGCGTTATTTGTATCTTTTTATTTAATTAATGATCATAAAATTATCTATTAGCAGTATTATTACTCCTGTAGGATAGCCGGAGGGGGAGATTTGGAATATAGGAATTTAGAAAAAATCGAATATTAAAAATTTTGATAATCTTTTAGAGAGATGATAATTAGTACGAAGGCAGACTATGCATTCCCCTATACATCCCATCACCTCGCGAAATTAAGATAGGGAATTGTTAATATTGGGTGCTCATTTTAAATTTTAGTTCCTTGGTTGTGAAATTTTTGGACTTCCGAGTTTTTTATCAACCAAATCTTTTATTTCAATTTTGCAGTTTGTATTTTTATGTAATAAGTGTTTCGAAAATTAACGTTAATATTCCTGTAACATTACATGCATTTTTATGGTATAATTGCATTATTTATTGAATGTACGTTTTTTCCTATTTAATTCGTTGAGTAATATAATGAACAAATTTTTAATTGATTTGTAAAGGATTTCGATTCGCTCGATTATCTATGGGAATTTTTTCATAAACTTAATTTACCTTGTTACATATTAGCGAAAGTACCGAATAAATATTAACTTTCTATAAATANAGCCAGACTAGGGGAGTAAAGTAAATCGATAAAATTTACCCCTCGTAGTCACTGGGGTGTTTCCGACGAAAATAGAATAACAATCGGAAAGTAAACAGCTTTCATAACAGAGCTGAATTGTTATAAGCAGGTTGAAGATAACAATTCCTAGAAAAACAAGTCTTTGTGCCTGTTTTTCTCATAAGATCGTGGGAGGTTTTCACGTCAGTTTACGGTGACATCATCAGCTAATACAACCGTTGTATTTGCAGTGGAATTCGTTTGTTATGACTCCGCCTATATTGACCAACCGCTTAATATGAAGTAATTACAGTGTTAAGTTTGGTTTTCATATTAAGTTCTCTATAGGAAAGTCTGGATATAATGACTCCGTTTAAAATGACATATCGTTTAATATGACTGATTCTCAAGAAATCATATCCGGCTATAGTGACCCTAATAATTAATAATAACATTTTCGCTCATTTTTCTGACCCTTCTTGTGTATATTGATATTACAATTCATCATTCTTTTTCTTTTTCTGTTAATAAATATATGGAATTTGTAGTTTTTCTCTCTATTAAACTAAATAATTAACCAACAAAGAAAGGTGTTTATTTTCTAAGACTATGCTTTGTATGACGCCCGCATAGTATGACGTGTTTGTCATTTCCCTTCAATGTCAGTATAAACGGATTCTACTGTATTATAACCATAAGGAAATTTCGACAGAAAAACTAGGGAAAAATACACAGTTGTAACACTTTTTGTTGGTGTTCTTGAGGATGATTTTATGTATTTTCCTGTATTTCAACATAATATTCAATCATATGGTATGATTAGATTATATTATTAGTCAATTACAACGGTTACTACTATTTCGAATTGCCGCTGCGGAAGTGTTAGTTTTTGTAGGAAAAAAACTTTTCAGTTGCTTACGTCTTACGTTAAGAAATAAACAGAAGGCTTCGAAAGCTATTACAAAATTTCTTTTATTTCGTAAGTTAATTCCGCATGAAGGTAGCAATGAAAACGACGAACAAAAACAAAACCTCAAATCTCAACGTCATTTCTATTTACTTCGATTGTTTAGTTTTTATATTAAAATATAAATACGTATCTATAATACATACGTAATTTTAATTCGGATTTTGAACAATTACGTTGTTAAATCAATAAATAACACACTCGTACGTCAGTGATAATATAAATAATAACGTACGATAAATTATTTATAAACAAAAAGCGTTTCCATTTATTCGTACGAATACAATAAATATNTTCGGATTTTGAACAATTACGTTGTTAAATCAATAAATAACACACTCGTACGTCAGTGATAATATAAATAATAACGTACGATAAATTATTTATAAACAAAAAGCGTTTCCATTTATTCGTACGAATACAATAAATATTCATATGCACGGAGGTCACAGACAATATCAGAGGGGTCAAACAATTGCAGCAATTACCTTGGATCATAATTTTTGTATTCAAGCGCGCTGTTCCTCAAAACCATTTCCTTTTTGTTAACGTAATAAAATTATGTTCCTACTTATTCATTACTATTACAATAGAATTTGGTAATTAATCTTTAATTATGTTTATGATAAGTAGGAAAATTATGATTCACTGCTATTAGCCGCTAAAATTGACGTAGGTACCTAAGTTATGGACTTTTCATGAGTTAAAAATTAGTTTTTGATTCATTAATAAAAAAACTAAAATCACAGTTAAACCAACATCTTTTAAAAAAAGTGTATCACACTTTAAGAACTTTAAATTGTATACTACTGCGATGAATCTTCATCATAAGATCGTCAGTCTTAAGACTGGTTGGACACGCACCTCCACTCTTTACTAGCCTGAGCTAATCTTCGCATTTTATTAAAACTGGAAAAAAAAAACTTTTGGGTGTTTCATTCCCACTAGCCAGTA